TAATGAGTGTAAACTAATTTAGTTACAAAAACAGACAATGAATATCGCAGTAATAAACAAAGCATCCTGAGTCTAGTTGGTTTCATGCCATTTTTTCGAAGTTTTTTTTTATTGTCATAGACATCTTTGTAATTTTAAATGTACTAAAGCGTTCCATTGTCGATTGCAAGTATCGTAAAGTAAATCTCCTTTTCTCTAACGGGTTTATCTCTGTCGAGCATCGTTCTGATGAGACCTCTTTTGTTGTTAAATTTTAACTTCTTCTATTAACGCTATATGTGATATTATCTTCTTTTTTCAATAGATCTCGACATTTAACATAATGATGATCCAAATGCATGGCAAAAATACAACTATCCATTTCTATCAATGTTAATTAATTTTAATCTCAGTCTATCTTTTTCTAATTTTTAATTAAGAAAAGAAGAAAAGCAAGTTAAACCGAGATTAAAATTAATTTATTGATAGAAATAGGTATGGTTCCTCGTCGAAATTACTATTTATATTCCGAATCTCTTAATATCTAAAGACCACTTACGGTCCTTCATTGTCTACAGTAATTTTATGTCTCGTGGCAGGTCAGCTTTGTTCTGTTATTTAGGTTTTATATAATTCGTACGGGTAATTCTTCGTTTCGACTGTGTCGTCGTATCGAACGGCGCAGTTAGCCTTGCCTTACGAATTTATGTGCTATCGATTCTTCACGGTCGTTAAAAACAGATATGTAGGGTATAAAGCGAAGAATCTATATCCGTGAATATAGGAAACGAGCGAAATTGCTATAGCATTCCGCCGATCGCAAGGTTGCCCGTCGAGTTGTTTCGCGGTGTTTCCGCGAAATTGTCTTAACGACTCGCTTGGCGAACAAGTGTGATATGTAATATTTAAACATACTTTTCTTGAAGTGAGGATATGCTACATGTATAATTTAACGATGCAAGACACTTCGCAATAAGCATACTTTTGCTTATCTACTTTGTTCTTAGAAGAAAAATGTATCATATACCTCGCTTGATGTAGGACAAAAAAGGAGATTTTAATTTTTCAGCAAGAAAAAATATAATTTTCTTACATAACATGAATATATCGCCAAGATTTTTCTCTCTTGAAGTGAAAATAACGATACTCACTGTCCTTCGCGGTACTTTTCCTTCGTCGAGTCGTCATCTCCACTTCCGGCAATTCAATCTCGTTGGAGTGTTCTAAATAATAAGCGGCCGGGTTTCCTTTCTTGTCGCAAACGCTGGCGTCACATCCGCCTTCTATAAGAAGATCCCAAATCGCATCGGGGTCTTTACATGCGCAGCAATAATGCAAAGCTGTTCGTCCCTCCTAAATATAATAAAAAGTTACATACCAATAATGATAACAACATCTTTATCATAATATGAGGTAACACTAAAGAAAAATTGATATTGATAGCAATAACGTTATAAAAACGAAACACTAAGTAGAAATTGCACAATTAAATACGAAGTATCAGCAAAACTACTGTTTGAGAATCTAAATCTGCTATGTGAAACAATAAAATTATAAATGAATTTAAAGGCGTTTTAGAAGTTTTCCAGGTCTTTGACAAGAGACTGAAAATACTGAACAGCAATGTACGTCGAAGTTAACATGCGCTGGATCGTGCTTTCATGTGTCTGCATGTGCCTGTAAGCGAGCTGGCGAGGAAAGAACAGGTGGTTTACACTTCGTGATTATCGGCGTCACGCGATGCGGGATCGCGACAAACGTTGCTAGGAAGAAGGTATTCGATTATTCAGGTGCCTCTTCTCAAGCGAGTTGACAAACGTTTATATTGCGGCACTATTCCGTCGCGAAAATAGATCTCGCGATTTTCGTGAATTATGAAAGGCGGCCGATCGAAGCTAATGCTCGTTAAGATCCGTAAATTAGGATGATTACATATTCTATTTCTACAGAATGGTCATTTAAAAAAGTTCGCTGAATAGATTTTATAACTAAGAACACGATTACCATTGAACAAACTCTATGTCAGGTTGTAGTTTATAGCATTGTAATTGATACTTAGAATATGTACCCTATCTTTTTGCTGTGGCGTAATAGGATAATTTTCTATAAGCCAGGCGATGATATCGGGTTGATCGTAGTATACCGCTTTGTGTATCAAAGGTATTCCGCATGAATCCTTTGCGATCGCCAATTTCTTCTTTGACTCCTCGGATATGATCTTTTGCGTGTCAGCTAACGAGCCACGTGCAACAGCATCGTGTACTTGCGAAATTTTCGTCTAAAATAAATCAAAATGATTTATTCTCATTTATTTGCAATACTTGGTTTTTTTTTAATAGAATTTTATTAGTTTTGAAAGTAATTTTCAGATAAAATTTGTTGGATGTTTAAATGTTTATGTTTAGGTGTATTTTGTGTAGTTGATTGAACGAGTTACATACCAAATAGTTCGGGAGTCCTTTCAGGAAGACACGAGTTCTAAGATCCGGAGAATGTTCGCCTAACAAACGTGCACCTCGACCCTCCAACACGACATTTTCGAGTTTTTCAAGTTCGCCACGCTGCAACCAAGCTTTTATGGCTGATGAATTCATTTGAACTTCTGCAACTGAATGACAATTTTAAAATTTAAGATAAACTGTATATGAGTACACAAATATGACATAATGTAACATAATTTATAAAATTATAATCTTTTTTCTAGGAAATCTGTTTCACTTTATGAAATGCATTTGCAATTGATAATGGAAATGAAAGTGAGAGCTTTTTAATGTGTTTTATAATTTATAGAGGGCCAGCAGGCAGATTTCATGGACCTTTTATTCGACTTCTCTTATTGATTCGCATATTCTGCAGCATTCAAATGTATTTTCGTTTGCATATTCATAATGCTTTATGGATGATTGGCGAGTCAGGGTGTAATAGGGATATTCATGACACGCGAAACGTGATATTTGTCGAAAGCGCGCATAAAGATGTTTCAATATACATATAGTTATATAGGAAGCTTCAATACGTAGTTCGTCGAGAATTAACATTCAGTCAGAATTTCCAGTTATTGAACCATAATTACGTGAATTATTCTCTTTCCACAAAAGATCGAATCGTTTATTGCGATGCGGTTTTGACAATTATGTTGAGGTAATGATTCCATTTGTATGCATTCTATCTTACTAAACCTTGATTGACTATTCATTTAATATATGACACGAATCCGGAATCACGGTTGAACTTTTCCTCTTACGAGAGTCGGTGAATCCCCTGTTTTTTATCTATTTAATGTCAATGTGTGTGAGAATGATTCAATAGAATGTAAA